TTTTTTATAGTTTATCTGCTATTGCCCTAATTTTCCCCCTGTGAAGTACGGGTGTCTGTAATGTAGGCGCTTGGCTGCCCCTCGCAGGAAACCTGAGTTCGATTCCTGAAGAGGGAAAACTTTTTATCGAGTTTCTTGGTCTTTCTGCTGGGATGATGTATCCCTCTCAGCCCGGGTTGGCACAGACTGGCAGGGTCGAAAACCTGCCTCTTAAATTATCTAAATTTTGTCAATAGGATTGTATAAACACCCTTTGTTTAAAAAAAAACAACCTTTAAAATTGGCAATGAAATGTTGCCATTATGATACTGTCTGGTGGTAAACATCTGCTGACATGATTTATATTGAGACCATACTGTCTAAAGGGTACGTTTTGAAGCGTCACCTGAGTCTTGAACGAGTTATCAATCGAACCACGAAATCGATTCGTGGGGATCCATCGATGTAACATAATATATTTTTAGCATTGACTCATGTCTACTTGATAACGTACCTGTGCTTGCATATTGATTCTTTTGCTGTGTAGTGGCGCGCTACACGGCCCCCCATTTAGGATCAAATTTCTCTTGTTTTCTTTCGCTAGTTGTTTGTTTGTTTATGTGTGTGAAGCTTTTTTGAGTTGTTAATTATCAACGACGTTCATCATATTATTATATACGTTGTGTGGCTGGTTAACGGGTGCTCTGTTGTGGTTTACTCCTCTTCTTTTCTGTCAAGTACCTATCGTCTTTATCTCTCCTTCTTCTCTAGATAACGGGGCACTCTCTAGTCCTGTAACAGCAATAACACCTCTAATCTTTGGCAATTATATAACCTAATTGTGTTGCAAACTTGAAAACTAAAGTTGTTCGTTGCGGATGGTCTGGGGATACAACTGAGTGGTAAATACTACTTTTCGTTCCCTTTATTCTTTCTGTCTGCATGACTCACCTTACCCCCAGCTGTAAATGGCCTTTGTCGTGACGACGTGGTTCTCCTTATTCAAATAGGACAACCTAAAACCAGCAGTTGTGTTGTTTGTTCGTTCAATTAGTTTTAGAGCCCTTGCTGGAGGAGATTAGTGTTATTCCTTTCTTATTGCTTTCGGACTGAGGAAAGTGAAAAAAAAAGGGGGGGGGGGGTATATGTGGCTTTGTTTTGTGTATGAGGCTTTAGGGGGAGTCGGTGGGGCCTGGGTGTTGTTGTTGTTGTTGTTGTTGTTGTTGTTGTTGTTGTTGTTGTTGTTGTTGTTTGTTTTTTGTTTTTTGTTTGTTTGTTTTTTGTTGTTGTTTTTGGGGGGGAGGTTGGGGGTTAGAGGTTTTTTTTTTGTTTTTTTTTCATTTAGGTGTGTGTGTTTGGGGGGGGGGATTGCGGCGGGGGCTTGTTTTCCTTTACTTGAAGTGTTAGAGACCGCCGCTTGACAGTGAAAGGGGTTTCAGATCGACGCCTTCGAGCTTGTACCAGTGCTCAGTCAGTCCGATTAATATCCTACGACTTGTCAAAAGGATTTATTTCCCTTCCAGTGCAGCCGATGAACAAAATTAAATGAGAAGTGTAAGAACAAGGCGCAAGTAAATTAACGTTTCTTCTTGTCCCCACCACAAATCTCCCTGTGGGTGGGTGGGTGGTTGGCTGGTGCTCTGGTGTGGTTTGCTCTTTCTTTCCTATCAAACATCTGTTGTCCTGGTCTCCCTTCCTTCTTTTGCCTGTATGCTACTTTCTTGCAGTAACATATCTAATCATCGGCACGTATATGACCTAATTGTTTTGCTAGTGTCGTAAAACTCTTACTAAAACTAAACTAAATCTATCTATTCTCCTAACCCTCCCTCAAGTCACGTGGTCAAACAGCCGCCACACGCCAACCGCTTGCAAATGACCTGGAGTAATTACAATGCAAATGGATTCGTGCGGCTCGTGCAAACCCGGTATATGCATGTGCATAATATTATGCTTTGTAAACGAATTGGCCGTCTATTTGTATTTCTTGGGTTTAATCTTGCAGTTTGTCGTTTTCGGAGTATATAATCTCTTCATTACCATTATGAGAAGTAACTATTGCTCCGTGTATGGTTGTGAGTTGTTGTTTTTGTTTTTGTTTTTTTGTTGTTGTTGTTGGTTTTTTAAGCTGTTTTTTCTTTGTTTGTTTAGGGTTGAGGGTTTTCTTGTTGTTGTTTTGGGGTTGTTGGTTTTTATTTTTGTTTTTACTTTTTTGGGGGGGAGAGGGGGTAATTGAGGTATGGTTGTCTATTTTAGTGACTCAATTGTTACAATTGGTGTTACATTGGAAAATGTACGAGTTTGGGTGGCTGGCGGGTGCTCTTGTGTGGTAAACTCCTCTCCTTTCCTATCAAACATCTATCGTCCCTACCCCCCCCCCCTCCTTTTTCTCCCCTTTTCTTTGTAGATTACTCCCCAGTGACCCTCTAATCTTCGGCACTTAAATGACTTGTTTTGAAAGTTCCATTAAACTCTTACTAAAACTAACATATATACGAGTTTCTTTTCTTTCTATTTACTCCAGGTGCTGAACGAGACTGGCTGTTTGGTTGTCAACAGTGACTGTATAACCACAGCGTTATCATCCGGTTCGGACAGGTTTTTGTGGTGAGCTTAAAAAAGGACGAAGGTTTACTTAGGACCATTGACCATCTTCTGCGGATTGGCTACGTCTGGATTAGTAATCTTCGTGGGAACAGTTTTTCGTTTGAGCTACCTGTGTGAGTAAGAGAATTGTTCTGAGCTGTCCTCGTGGTGTTCGAAGGTTATGGGACATGTTCAAGCATGAAAATACCGAGCTAATTTTAGCAACACCCCTTCGTTGAGAGTCTACTCACACTGTGGGTCGTGACGCCATCATGTCGGCGAGCACTACTTCCGGCAGACGTGGCTCGCCACAGCTGCTCATGTCCCCAGCCCGTCTCCCTCGAGCTCTGTACCTACTTCTGCTTCTCACCTGGATCGTCTGCCTCCCAGACCCCAGCCTTGCTCAGAACATGGAGATTCGTACCTCCATCAGAGAGCAGCTACTCCCAGGGTACGTCATCCTAAACTTAGCCACTGATCCAAAGTTCGTCAGTATTTTAGAGTCGTCTGCCGCAGCCTCTCCCCAGAGTGACCTTCGTTTCAGCATCCTGACTTCTGGAAATCCCAATAGTTTGTATTTCGGTGTGGGCGAGAAGACGGGGATCGTGGAGGTTGCAAAGACGATAGATAGAGAGTATGTCTGCAGCTTCCGGTCTGTCTGTGTCCTTGACTTTGAGGTGGCGGCACGCTCGGAGTATGGCGTGTTTTTCGTGCTCGTCAATTTCGTGGTGGAGGTGACGGACTTCAACGACAACCCGCCAGAGTTCACGCAGGCGCAGTTTGAGCTGTACGTGCCGGAGAATTCTGTGAGGTCAGTGTTCCGAATGGGGGGGTTGTTTTTTGTTCGTTTGTTTTTTGTTGTATTTTTATCGGCGTGTGCATGCGGGTCTATAGGTGTGTATGTGTATGTGTGTGTATGTGAGTGTGTATGTGTGTGTGTATGTGTGTGTGTGTGTGTGTGTGTGTGTGTGTGTGTGTGTGGAGAGAGAGAGGGGGGGAGAGAGAGAGAGAGAGAGAGGGAGAAGGGAGGGAGGGGTCCTTAAAGAAGGATTAGCAATTTTTATGGTGTCTAAGAACGGCTAGAAGAAAGAAACATTAAAATTTATTGGGAGGATGCACTCCCATACAAACACACATACCGTGAATTCCTTATGGTCATATGAATGTGAGTGTTGATGAGTGAAGAGGGGGAGGAGAGAAAGAGAGAGAGAGAGAGGGGGGGGGAGAGGTGGAGAGAGAAAGAGACAGAGGGAGGGAGAGGAGATAGAGAGAGAGAGAGAGAGAGAGAGAGAGAGAGAGAGAGAGAGAGAGAGAGAGGAGGGGGAGTGGTGAAGGGGAGGGAAAGGGAATTGCTGGGGATGACCTTTTGGTTGGTAAAGACTTAGAAATGTCTTCTCCCAATTGATTTGTGTTTATTGCTTTTCTTTCATCATTTTATTTCTTAATCTTTTTTAAACAGAGGGCGGTCATTCCAGCTGCCTGTGGCTTTTGACCGAGACACGGGACCGGAAAATGGGGTGAGCGAGTACAGAATCTTGAAAGGTCCTGACTTGTTTGACTTGGTGACAACAGAGTCTGGGTTCAATTCCTCGGACGTGTACCTGACTCTTCAGAGCACGGTGAACAGAGAGAGTGCACCGTCGTATAAGGTATGTTTGTACCTATTTAGACTTTTTTGTTGGGGGGGGG